CTTGTTGGTTGCAACATAGATTGCATCATGTTTTTCATATATAGATCAAAATTCTACTAAAAATGCTTCTAAATTATCCAATATTGGATCACATCATTCAAGAAATGATGAAAACTATGATAAAGTAAAATCTGAAAATAGTATTTCAATAAACTTGACTTGTGATCCTTGAGTTGGATAACTTTGAGGTTGTAGTTCAATCACCAATTGTACCTAATTGATGAATCTTCAAAACTTAGATCTTGTGCCATCAAACTTTTCAAGCAATTCAATTTTTGGTTCTTTAAAACTTGAACGATTTTTCATTGTAGGAGCAGTAATATGGCTTAGTATAGATGTTGAAGCAGTTCCAATCATCTCTATATCTTTGTTGCTTGATAATCTTGTTGTTCCTTGTAGTGGTAGACTGAGTTGATGCATTGCAAGCATTAATTCTCTCATTTATTCTTGCATTTGAGCCATTGCACTCTTCATTTCAACAAGCTCTCCCATGCTAGCATAATAAAAAGAAAGGTGTCTATTATTATGGAATAAAATATTCAAGAATCAAGAAAAAATTTCTAGAAATAACATCAATTTAAAAGAGGGTAATTTGCAACTTCTAATTTGCTTATGTCTTATCAAGAAAAATGAATAATCCACTCTTAATAAAAAAAAGACAAAGCTCTGATATTATATGTGTACTCTTGTCAATCTGTCAAGGACACAAATTAAAAGAAGATGCATAAAGTCGTAGAATCTGTATCAAAAGGAAAATGACAAAATAAAAGAAAGTATGTATATTCAAGGAAGAATTGGAATGGCTATTACCAAAGACTAGAAAACATAAGACTCTTGAAACTAGACTAAAAAACAATAAAAGAGTTGATAAGAATGAAGAAGGCCTCTCTCTTGCCTCTATATATACTACTTAATTAAGAAATACTTGGCGACATGCTATAAGACTTCTAATACACGTCCAACTTGTAAGACACATGTCTAATTTACAAGGCAAGTTTCCAAGGTGTGTACCATATGTCCCACTTGTACTACAAGTGCTCAACATGTCAACACATGGCTTCCTTGTTGGCCAAGTTTTCAATCTACCAATCACCTATAGACATGTATAAAAGTAAAGCAGCGTCTATAAAGCTTCTAAGAAGCTTTCGATAAGATATTATCATATTTATCTACTTTGATTTACTTCTACCTATTTTTATTATCTAAATAATTATAAAGATAAATATGTATATCCGTGACAATAAGATTACAACATCAATGAATAATCATAAAAATCTTCATCTAATAATATCAATATACTAATAAAAATATTAGATTTTTATTGTTGTTAGCTTTACTATACTAAGCCAAACTATCAAAGGCTATGACATCATAAATATGGCATCACCAAAAAAAACTTTTAAAAAAAATCCAATATCAAACTAAATATAAAGATAAAAGACTCATCGAAGAATATCATTAATATGCTATAGTCTTTTTTTTAATCATTTATTTTTCAAGTTATATTTTTTTGATTATTTTGTTGAAACTTTAATATATCAAATTGTATTTTTTTAAAAAAAATCTTGAAGATCTTCAGCTTGAGCTTTCATTGAAGAATCAATTATATCATCTATTATAATAATTACTATTTTTTAGGCATTTTGAAGATGAAACTAAATAATTCGTACAGTGGATAAGTCTTTGCTACAATTATATTTGACATTGGAACCTTCAAGAAGACATTATTGTGTTGTAACATGGCCATTAGTTGAAAGAAAAAAAATATTACATCATAGAAGAGACTTTTTAAAAATATAATAAAAAAATTTCTAAAAAATATAAATAATAGTAAAGAAATTAGTAAAATTAATAACTAATTATGCTATTTTTTTAATTTATAAAAAAACTTCTATTTATTTTATAGGACATTAATAAGGTAATAAAAGATAGATTTAAAAATTGATATTTTAGAAATTTTTAGATAAAAATAAAAATTAAAAAATTAAAAAAATTACTTAAATAAATCTTCGATTAGTATTTATAGAAGGCCAATTATGAATCAAGGTTAAAAACATATCTTAAGGCACATAATTACATACTTTTGGCAAGTAAGATTCTTTTTTGTTGATTAGTGTGAATTTCTAGAAAAAACTTGATGATGTTTGTATAAGTATTAGTTTTGAATGATTTAAAATTAAATTAATTTTGTGAAAGCTTTGCAAAGTTGATGTTATATTAAATAACTACATTTTGTATTAAATAAAAAGAATATTATATTTTGGTGATTTATATGATTTTTGTAGCATATCCATATTTAAAATATTATGGATTTGTAAAGGTTTCTATATTAGATATATGTTATAAATTTGAACTCAATTAAATAGTCAAAATAAAAATAATTGAGGTTCAATTGAATTAGTGTTTTAGAAATTAGGTTATAAAGATTAATGAGGATTTTGTAGATTTCAAAATTTTTTTGGTTGAATTAAAAAAATATATATTTTATGCTAATAATTGGCTAAGATTTTTTATATTTTTAAGTTTTTTAAAAAGAAATTAAAGATTTAAGAAAAAAAAATATTTAAGCTCAACGATTAAGATTAGAAAAAAAAATATTCAATACCAAAGCAAATTATGAGCCATTTCTTTAAATTTGTAAGTTAGATTCTCTTAAAAAAATTATGCTTTATATTAACCAAAAAATTGGGATTTGTAAAAAAAAAAGTTGAATTAAAATTAATAATTAATATAAAACTTATTAAGGTTTGAAACTAATATGATACTTATTTAGAGTTTGATTAGGATTTCTTTAAGATTTAATTAAGATTATTTTTGAGGATAGTTTAAAGTTTTTATGAAGATTTATAAGGTATTTTTGAACATCTTTTGTTTTGTTTTTGTTTTTGTTTTTGTTTTGTTTTTTTATTCTGGATTGTAAATCTAACTTCAAGATAAGATGAAATCCTTCTATAAGCAAATGCTTTGCATAATTGTCGATTAAATTTCACTTAATACAAAACTTCAGCATTGATTGTGGTATTGCAAGTTGAAAGTGTTGAAACAAGAGGTCAAGACTTTATTTTATAAGGAATTTTTGAAGGTCTTATTTTAGACCAAGTCATCTAATTATATTTTTAGATTCTAGGAAGTATTGGCTATAAATATTAATTAGAAGGACCTATTCATCTATTAAATAGAGATCAAATAATAACATTTATAATATAAAATTTGTAAGAAATGATAAAATTTTTGCAAACATGAAGAAAAATGACATCAATATTCTTTGTAGAATTTATTGCTAAGATAGAAGGTGATTTCAAAGACATACAAAGAAGATTCTAAAACCTTTAAAGAATATTTTATATACATGTATGACAAGACATGAGAGGCGTGGACTTTAATTATCAAATCTTACTAATGGTATAAGTAGAAAAAAGACTAAAGCTCTCCTTAATCTTGTTAATTCGTCTCTTAGATTAGTTCTTCTTGTGGTCTTTAGGCCTTCTTGTTATTAATATTAAAAAATGACTATAATCTTCATAACTATTCTCTATTTTTTATATGCATCATAGTCTTCAATGCTTGAAATTGTTCCTTCTTGATTCTAAATGGATCCTTAATAATATTATTTTTCTAATAAATAAATAATTTAGTTTTTTAGATTTAAAATATAAAATTTATTTTTTAATTATAATAAATTTAAAGCAATAAAATCAGTTGAAAACTTAATGATGTCAAATATTGATGTATTTTCATAAGCATGTACAATTATGTCTAATAAAAATATTTTATAATTGACATTTCTATGACATAAAATTGAGATGCTAATGGCACCAATTCATACATCTAAATATTTTTTAAAATTTTATTTGAAGAAAAATGCATCACAATCACCTTTATTAATTAGAATAAATTTATTAATTTAGTAATATACTAGTCAACATTTATTTTGTATCCTAAATATTTTGAAATTGAATTGATAGATAGTAAATTATTTTTTGGGATAGAAAGCATTAACCTAAAGTAACAAGATCATGCCTCAAGGCTACTATTTTAGTGTCGTAATTTTAAACAAGATTAAATTCACTTAATATGCAGCTAACTTTGAGGTGCAATTACAAGCAAATGAATCCATTCATAGGCTAGGGCAGAAAGTCCCGCAAAGTTCCAAAGTGAGACTTGGTAATTTTTATTCTATCCATTCTAATTCTGATTTTGTTTTGACTTTATTTTGATGTATTTGTCTGGGTCTGCACTCACATGCAAGAACTCAATGGCAAAGGTCAAGTTCCAAAGGGTGGAAGGTTGGAGAACTCAAAACAAAGAAGTAGAGACCAAGGAACAAGAGAAAGGAAAAAAAAAAGGATAAAAAAACTTTTCACAATATGTGCAACCCTCTTCTTTTCAACCCCACTATTGAGGTTTGAACCCAGCATTTGCTGACTGTTGTATATGTATTCATATATTCCCCACCACCTGCACCAACCTCTGTAACTACCACAAGCTTTTATTATTTGACTCAGTCCTGTGCCCACAAGCCTCTGGCGTGGGCAGCAAGCTGTACAGAACCCCGACTAAGGGTGCAGTAGATGAAATCCCACTCCACTACTCTGGAGTGGATGAATGTATGGATGTTCTTCCGAAGCGCCAGTAAAAGTAGGGAGGCCTGGTAACGGAAGAAGGTGACGGGTGTGGACGGCAGCGTCCGGTAGATGAACCTGACCCCCCCCCACCACCCAGCAAGATCCAGTCCTCGTCGACGTCGTCAACAACGACAACGACGATGATGATGTCGAGGGAGGGCGTGGGGGTGGGGGGTCCAGGTCTCGTTGGTAGCGTCAGAAGAGGCAGGCAGGGTCGTCGTCGTCGTCGCATTGCGGACGCCATTGGCATCACTCCGTCTGGCGTTCGTGTGCTTCGTCATAATTTGGTGGACTGCTTCCATGGCGGACTTATTGGTTTGCTTGCTTGTTTCCCATGGGATGGATAGTTCGATGGATGCTGAGTGGTCTGCTTTTGCTTGGACTCCGGGGCACGAAAGCTCTCCCATATGGGGAAAAGGAATCTTGCCACGCATTCCCTGCTTTTAGAAGGAATTAACAATTGTGACCGGCACACGGAGGTGGCATTTAGGCCGAGGAGTAGAAAGTCGCGTAGTAGATGGTGAGAGAAAGCAGGATGAAAGGTGAGCGATCTACTGACGGCGCTGTGGTGTTCAGGTGTTCCGGTTCTTGCGCATCGTCGCGGAATCGGAAGAGATTGTTTTTTTTTGTTTTGTTTCTATTTCTGTTTTCTTTACTTTAATGTATTGAAGTTTAATCTTAGGTTCGGCATGCGAGTTGAGACAGAAGGAGAAGGAGATGATTGAGTACGAAAACATGGATTCATAAAGATGGCCGTAGAGCCATTTGTTGAGCGTCGAGTTGAGGAAGTACTTAGTAATGCTCTAGCTTATTTTTTAATGAATTGAAGTGCCTTTCGAAAGATTCCGAGAACTCTCGCCGAGGAAGTCGCTACTTTAAGTAGAATAATTCACGATGCAGTCACGATTGTTTTCCCTGTTTCGAGGTGGAATAAATGGTTGCACTTGCAATTGAATCTTCGTAGGTGTCTAAGCTGTAATTTGACCTTGTAATTACCTCTCTTTGTTAGTTGTTTTATCAACTCCCGAATTGTGCGCTCGATTACTTGCTAGTAGCTCTTCGTTCATCTCCGAAGGCTGACTTGATTGTATGTTTCTGAAGTAAGGGCTACGCGCTCTCGAATTCGATCGAGAAACCTTGAAGAGTGGTAGTATTTATTGAACGCTTCGATTTCGGTTAGTTTGGTCTACTAAGGGAGCCCTGTAGGAGGAGTCTGAGGAGGAAACAGTTTGCTGTCCACATTTGAAACGGCACCGCGAAATTGGGAACCACTACAAGATGGGGAAAATTGAGTACGTAGTGAGGGTGGAGAAGGAGGAGGTTGGCGTCGATGGTGACCCATCGAAGGGACATGTCTATAGAAGCTTGTTTGCAAAAGATGGCTTCCCCCCTCTTCCTGAAGGAATTTCTACGTGCTGGGATATTTTCGAGTACGTTCTTTCACTTCACAATACTTTAGTTTTCCATTCTTTCGAAGTGATCCTCCTGCTGACAATACTGCTCATCATTATGCACAATTTTTGTTTTTACTACTTGCTATAGTTGATTCTCTGGCTATTCCTCATGATTTGAGGTTCCCTTTGCTGCTCCTACGTACTCTTTGTAACCAGGCTCATGCATGTTTACCTGTCTCATCTAATGAGGTCACGAAATGTAATGCTTTAAAGCTTGCAATCATTCTTTGAAGTTTTTTCTTAAAGCAATTGAGCAGGATTGAGATTCATTACAGAACTTGACCGTTTAATTTTCTCCTCTTCTTGCGTCTTGGCACTAGTTGGTCATGTTTGCTTCAGAAAACGGACTGCAATCTGTCATAGCAGTTGTATGACAGCTGCACTCCAAGGTCCTTGGCCTCTGATAGAGTGCTCTAGGCATCCAATAAGTACGCCGTTAAAGCGATGACATGTGTTCTCTTCGTTGGACATGCACTTCGTAGACCTTGATATCGCTGGCACTAAGCTAGGGTGAATTTGCAAATCTCTTGAGTGCGACCTCCCCTATTCTCCTGTCCTAAGGCAGGATATGGCTGGCAAAATGTTTTAGTCTTATTTCTTATCGTTTGATCCTCATCTTCCCGATGTCTTAGGCTAATATTCAGATTATCATTAAGACATCTGTGCATTGATACACAAACAGAAGTCACAGTTCATAATTTAGACCATATTTTCACATATACACATTAGATCCATCCTTGTAAGGCAAGTTTGAAATCCTATTGTTGAAGGATTTGATTTAAGAAACAATATTTAATCTGTATTCGGTTTTTTGTTGTTGTAAATTTTGTATGCCAGATTGAAATAATGTGGAAAAAGAATTAGGATCAATTTTTGTGTTAGAACACCCTAAATCCCCCAAAGTTTTCAGGATCTACACTTTGAAGTGAAACTATCACTAGCTTACACGCAGCTCCAATCTGAGATTGATTTTGTTTACTTGTTCTTGATCCTTTATTTTATTTTATTTTCGCTTTTTTCCTGAATGTGAGGTTTGAATCTTTGCATCCTTCTATTTAATGGACATAGCCATTTCGGAGGTAGTAGTAAAATACATACACATGTAGTGGAAAATCATGAGCTATTCTGGTTTTTTTTTTTAAAAGTTTTCTTCGATCATAATAATAATGGTAATTTTTGATTATTTCAGGCGATCCAAAGTCAAAGGTCCTGGCAATAACATGCTCGGAGTTCGTGAGATGAAGGATGGAAAAGTAAGGGTTAGTGTGCACATTTGAAGAAAGAAGCACGTGTGTTGGATACAATTGTTTTCAAATGCACAATGAACAGTTTTTTTTTTTCCTTTCTCTGAATCCATTCGTATTCCGTAATCTACCTTAGTATTTGTCCTCTGTGTTGGGTTCACTGGTATCTTGAAAAATCTGATAAATTGATGGAAAAAGCGTATAAAGTTGGGAATGATATCGTTGGTATGCGTAATATTCTTAATGGGTAAGTCACACATAAAGATCGATGATACCTTTGATTGCAGGCTGGGGCATACGTGTGGAAATCCTATGAGCAAGTGTATGATAATGTTCTGCAAATTGGTTCAGCAATGCGATATGTGGGAGTCAATCCGGTGAGTTGAATTGCTGATTACCTATGGACATTTAAAGAGGCTAGCTTATGATGACCCTCTTGTTACACTAACTTCACACAGAATTCATTTTTGTGTCAACGAGGTCATCTCTGACAGATGTTTGTTTGGTATAACTTGCGCTTTGCACAGAAAGGCCATTGTGGGATTTATGGCATGAACTGTCCAGAATGGTTCACTGCTATGGAGGTATTTTTCTCCTGTCAACTTCAGTCCCCTGCTGATCCTCCTAGAACTGGATTAGATAGAAGATCAATGCCTTTTCATGTTTTTATTTTGCTACAGAGGTTTCGACTACATGTTTTTGACTTGGCAAAGGATTGCACACAGAAGATACAGTTTCTTGTGGTTTTGTAGCTAATTATTGGTAATTTTGTACAGGCTTGCAATGCGCAAAGTATTGTTTGTGTTCCTCTTTACGATACTCTTGGTATGCTTTCAGCAATACAATGATTTATACTGCTTTCATCTTCAGAGGATTATTCTTCAGGTGTCGTGTCATCTACTAGGTGTCCAAATGTTTCGTAACACTCTAATCTTAAAAACCAATCTCCGAAGTTCCTTCATGCCTGTAACTCTGTCTTCTTTGGGGGTACATTGCCATTTCTATTGTAATAATACATGTTTGGGATGTGACAGGATTGACAGCAGTGGAATATATCTTAAATCATGCAGAAATCGAAATTGCTTTTGCGCAAGAAACCAAACTTCCTTTGGTATGTTCAAGCAGATTGAGGACCTCAGATCTCTCTTGCACGCCCAAATGTTCAATTTCTGTGTAAAGCCCTTGGATTCTTTCTTCTAAGTAGTGTTTTGACAGTCATTAGGTTCGAAAGTTATATTGTGTCCTTATGAAATTCAGGCATCTAACCAGCTTTTCCAAATCATTTTCTCAATGGCTGTGTTATATGCTGAACACGCAGATCATGAAGTCTCTCCCCAACTGCACTACATTTTTGAAAAGTATGTGCGAGTCGCTACCCAACTGCATGCAATTGAGAACAATTTGGTTGTCCTTGTATTTGTTCGTGTACTCATGTGAACCTGGAGCTGGGTCTAGCGATTTCATGCGAAAGTTCTAGTATTTTGAGTTGAAAAATGATATGTACTCTCTTCATCTCACGTTCAAAAATGTGAATATGCAGCCTTAGTTAGTTTTGGGGCCGTTACAAGTGATCAAAGATCTAAAGGTCAGGATGCGGGAGTCACGATCTACGCTTGGCAAGACTTCTTGGATCTGGTTTGTGTTTTTATTTTATTTATTTTCTGATTTTTTTAATATGATTTCATTTTGTACTTGAACTCGAAGGAATACCGCATGTGGTACTTGATGAGTAAATTCAATCACTGCGTTAACTTGTGTAAACGTATATGGATGTGAGGCTTTCTATGTGATGCGAAAATTATCCTTATGTCTCAATGGTACAGTGATCAGCCCTTTCACGTGGTTACTAATTCAGAAACAGAAAGATGCTGGCTGTAATGACCTGTAAGGTGGAGGTGTTTATACGAACACTTTTAATCTGGGAACCATTCTCTACTACTTATAACGAAACACACACCAATGCAATTGAAATAAATTCCTTGGGTAAATGGTATTGGTTTTAGGTCCCGGTTGGTTTTCGGTTCTTCTACCTTTTATATATTCTGGATTTGGCATGTGACGCAAATTCCTTGACATCTGAGTGTGAACATGAATTCGAGAGTAAGCAGAATCAGTTCTAGTATTGCCAAGGATAAAGGTGGCCTCAGAAACTCAATGGATGACAAAAAGTATGACTGTTGGATGGAGAGTTCGTTCTTTGTACTAATACATTCTTTCTGTTTTCAGGGGAAAAAGAACAAATGTGACGTGACGCCACCAAAGAAAGAGGATTTGTCAACGATCATGTATACTAGTGGGACCACAGGGGAGCCAAAAGGTGTAATGTTGACTCACGAAAACGTCGTGAATACTATTGCGGGACTTGATTGGTATCTGAAATCTCTGAATGAAGTGGTGAGCCCCTTGGATCCGATTGTGTTTTTATGCGGGTGCTCCAGCATTATCTTCTTCTTTGATCGCCATTATTACCTGTGTATGTATGGTAAGTGTGAATTTGTGGATAATCAGACTTTTACCATTACACAGTTCACCTGAAGGTACTGTGTCCTCAGTCGTGTAATGCAAGAAACTTAGATTCATTGAACTGCAAGAGTATTAACATTCATGTTGTGCATGCAGATGAATAAAGACGATGTTTATTTCTCATTCTTGCCATTGGCGCATATATTTGATAGAGTAGCTGAGGAGATGTTTGTTTTTATTGGCGGTTCTATTGGATTCTGGCAAGGGGTATGTCTACGAAGCATTGAAAACATGTACTCTTGACCGATTCCGTTCTGTTCAGGTTGTGTGTAAAAATATCGATTTTTCAGCCCGGGACTTGGAATTTGTGACCGGATCATTCCTTACTGTATGCTGTTGCTACAGGATATCAAGAAGGTACCTGAAGACATCAAAGAATTGAAACCAACATTGTTTGTTGGTGTTCCTCGTGTCTTCGACAGGCTAACTACAGGTAAGCTCGGACTGCTCATGAAAATAACTTCTGTGACGAAATACGTTAATTTTGTACCGAATTGTCATCTTCTCGAGATATGGTGAAGTACCAGATTTTGTTATGAATCAGCACATATTAGAAGAAGCTGCTGGTATGGGCACCAAATTGTTCTGTGAAGTGATGTTCTTTATACATTTGAGTACCGTCTCATTAATCTGACTTGAATCCCAGAATGATATACTTTGTTATATTTGCAGAATGACATAGATATAATGAGTATGACAACTTTGAGAAAATTGGAGCAGATCATAGTTCAACACAGAATTTTGTTCCTGGTTAATGTTTTTGCAGGAATTCAAGAAAAAATTGCTGCTTCAGGTAGAATAAAAAATTGGCTCTTCCAGATTGGATTCTCCATGTGAGTATATATATGCTTCACTATAGTGATCAATATATACATATTACCAGTTGCATGTCGGGGATTGATTTTCATTGTTGCAGTGTAACTTATCGTCGTACTGTCATCCTAAAGCCGTTTTATTTGATCGGAATAGGTGTCAGATTGTAATCGCGAAGCATAGTTGTGGATTTGCAGGAAGTTGTTTTGGTTAAAGAAAGGATATAAGCAAGATCAGGCATCGCCATTCTTTGATAAGCTGGTCTTCGATAAGGTTTGCCCTCTCTATTTTTGGATAAAACTCTGAAAGGTTTTTTTATTCTTCAGTTTAATACAGAACTTGGTCTGTTTGTGCCCATTGGCATACAATTGTATTTGATACTTGAGGAGGTGTCGTGGAACTCTTAGGTGAAAATGGGTCTTGGTGGACGCGTAAGGCTTGTCATATCTGGAGCTGCACCACTGTCTGGGCATGTAGAGAAGTTTTTGCGGGTCATAATGTGTGCACCTGTCATGCAAGGATATGGTAAGCATACATTACAATTGCTTCTTGAAGCACATCTTTAGCTACATCATGTACATCTACTCTGTGTTTTAGTGGTATTTATCCTCCCTATGTTCTGCAGAATCGTAAGATCATTGTAATTGTTTCAATTTGAGTACGTCATGGATTTTCCAGGTTTGACTGAGACGTGTGCTGCAAGTTTCCTCCAAGTTCCGGATGTCATCTCCATGAATGGCACTGTGGGCCCTCCACAACCCATTATTGATGTGAGGCTGGAATCTGTTCCGGAGTTAGGTTATGATGCCTTGAGGGAGGATTCTCCTCAAGGAGAAATTTGTATTCGTGGAAAGACACTGTTTTCTGGATATTATAAACGACCGGAGCTCACGGAGGAGGTTCTTATCAATGGTTGGTTTCACACAGGTACGCCTTGTACCATCTAAAGGTGATTACTCCGGCTCATTGCTCTAATGTCACTTCATCTGCAGATTCCCGGTTGAATTGATGAATTGATGTTTACCTTTATCCTCAACTTTGCTTTTTAGTCACTTTCAAAGTAATGTATCTTGCATGACCAATTATGGCTATGAATCCAAGCAGGGGCTGTTCTTGAAATATGTTGAAAGGATTATCCATCTTTGGGTCGATGAATAAGTCAATGATGACATAGACAAGTTCTTTGTGATGTGTGTATCAGGCGATATTGGAGAGTGGCAAAAAGATGGTGCTTTGAAGATTATTGATCGCAAGAAGAACATCTTCAAGCTTTCTCAAGGAGAATACGTTGCAGTCGAAAACCTTGAAAATGTGTACAATGAGTCCTCCTCTGTTGATGCGGTATGAGCATCACTTTACGATTCTGCTGTTCATAATCTAGTTCTTGCAACCACATGCACTGCTTTAGCAGATTTCGATCTACCCATTTCGGTACTAGGTTTTGGGACTAAATAAGACTTTTGCGGTTATTAAGGTGCGGGTGCCTTGGCATCCATCGTAGATCATGAAGTCCACTTTGGACCCTTCTATGCTCATATGAGAATTCGAACGAATGGCTTTGTGTTTGGACAGTTCTAGATTACCCAGATGTGTAGTATTGGCGATTAGATGTTTTGATTATACATAACATGAGTGTTCGAACTTGATGTCGCTGGGATCACTGGATATAATGCTTGTATTATGTCCGTCAAAATCGAAGAATGAATTTCCTTTCCTTCATATTGGCAACGCGTGCACAGATTTGGGTTTATGGAAACAGTTTCGAATCGTTTCTGGTGGCTGTAGCAGTCCCAAATCAACAAGCATTAGAGAATTGGGCTAATTCCAATGGAGAGGAGGGAGATTATGCCACTCTATGCAAGAGTCCTAAGGCACAGAAATTCATCTTATCAGAGCTGACAAACATGGGCAAGAAGAAAGGGGTGAGTATCCATAGTTGCTCTGTTGATTTCTTATGTTCTTCTAACGGTGCTTATAGTCGACCGTACGCAGTCACATAATGTTTTAGATATCACACCACCTGAGACACTGCGATTTTATAAATGATATTCTCCTCCAACCTTCGACTAGAAGGTTGATTTGTAACTATGAATGTAATCCGAAAGACTTGAACTTCATAACTGCATGAAGCGAGTTTTGTCTCAGTTGCTGCTATTCCTGGTCACGTGCACGAACAGTAGGCTTCCAACCACATATTTTCGAAAGATTTTTGCTGGAGTATAAGCGGACAGAATTTTCTTTCACTGAAGTGTAAAACTTGTCTTTATATCTGCAGCTGAAAGGTTTTGAGTTCATCAAAGCGGTGCACTTAGATTCTCAACCGTTCGATGTAGAACGTGATTTGACAACTCCTACATTTAAACTTAAACGACCGCAACTCTTAAAATACTATCAGGTACTTGTGTACTACCTGTGTAATCTTTTACATTTTGGGGTTTGTTCTATTGGACATAGCGCATCAATGTGCTGAGATTGAGATTGTAAGAGAGTTGAGTTATTTCGGCAAATTCAGCCACTTAGGCGTCGTTCAGTAAGATTTTTTTCTGTACATTTCACCAATATTTGTATATAGTTAAGCTGTAGAACTAATCTTTTGTCTGAAAATGCTATAAAACATTTAAAGTACTGAGCAGTTTTAGACGTAGGAGGTAAGTTTTACATGCGGTTGCGATTGGGTGAACCTGCTGTTGCATCCTCTATGCATTGTGTTCATAAATTGATTCAAAAAGAAACGAACAAAGAAGCTTCTGGTTTGTTAGTGGTGGGTAACCTCTATTTGTGATTTTGCAGAAGGAGATTGACGTTATGTATAACAAGATAAAATCGAACTCCTGAAGGTTAATATGTCATGATCTGAAATAATCGCGCTATGCGTCATTAGATGTAGGCGTATCTACATATATAGCCTAACTTTTAGCTTTTAGATACCCCATAGTAGGCTGGAGGTGTACAGAATTAACTTGATAGTGGCTTCACTGGCGTTACTATACATCTGAGTGATTGTAATCCACAAGTGGATGTATGAAAATATGTGTATATATATACACATAAATAATACTTGATGTTGTGTAATTTTGTTGTTATCAGATTTGTAATTATTGTTGTAATTTTGTTAACACTTTGATGCTAAGATGTTCAGTAAAGAATCCAAACATGCAGACTCATGTTTCCACGCTGCATCAACCTTCGTGTGCTATGCAGCAGGATCCACTGTACCATTGTTGGGGTGCAATGCTCAGGTTCTCGGGTTTCCTAGTTGCGAAAACCACACCTTCATGATCCATTTTCCTGTTTTGATAGTCTAAAACCTCTGTCGAGTGCAGTGGAATCTCGAAATCTATGACCTACGACTTTACTATTCCAAACCTACACTAGTTTCAAATTTTCGAACTGAACTCGTGACTAGAACAATTTAAAACAAGCAAAATCACTTCTGTATTTAAGGCATTATATAGAACAATTCTAATTTTTATTCAGATAGATATGTCCATATCTTATATTGAAGTTAAGAGGTATCTGTTTGTATGTTTTTTTATACATCACATGTTCGAAACACCATACATTTATTCATTCATGTGCCAATTTGTCATTCATGTATTCATCCATTTAGCAATTGTTCAAATCTAAGTTTTTTTTCATGATTTAAGCCAATTGTGATGCGAAATGTTTCAATAATGTCAATCATAAGAATTTTGTGAACTTCATATTACTAAAATATTTATCTAAAATTAATTGTTGGAGGACTTACAAATACTACTCTTTGTTAAAAAAAAACTAGAGTCAAAGATTTCAACACTTAATTCTAAAATTAGTATCTTTCCAAAGGTGTGATTAAATGTACTATAATTTAAAAAGAAATGACAATAGTCTTAACCTATATATATATATATATATATATATATATATTTAAGTTTTTCTTGAATAGACATATGAATTATTTTATTTTAATTCTTCTTATAAAAACCAAAACAAACATAGTGTCGTGATAAAATAAGCAATACATATTATCCAAGGAATAAAATAACATCTAAAGCAATCTAGGTATACTAATGAGGTGATTTAATATAAGCTTTTGGAATTAAATCTTGAGAGATAACAACTTCATTAATTAATATACAAACATATCTAACTTTAAGTTCAAAATAATATATGAAAAATTAAAAAAACAAATAAGTTATTGTGCTTATTAATTGATAAGCCTTATTTAGAAAAAAAACTAAAATATAAAGAAATTTTATTTAACAAAATTTTTTATACTTGTGACATTGTTAAAAAATAGAACAATTTTTTTATGATTAAAAACTTCTCACAACTTTTAATATCAATGCTTCTAAATGCTCCATTATTTTATAAGCAGGTTGATATTGTTTATATAGATTTTCACATTTGAACTAGTTTATGCAATAGTGCTTGTTTTTAAAGTCATGTTAAATCTATAGCTCATGCATTACATTTGACAACCATGATGCCCAAAATGACATCTTCTCTTAAGCATGAGTGGTGTTTATTTAGCACCTCATATACTTTTAAGGCTTCTAAATTTAGATTTTAGTAAATTATAGGAAAAAAATCTCAAAAGTAAAATGAACATGGTTAAGTATGCTAATGACAAGATTGTAGGAACTAAAATGAGGTCATGGATTTGATTACAAGAGACACCAAAATATCCAAGTGGTTATACCAAAATATATGTGCTTTCATTTATTATCAAAATATTAAAATTTAATATAGGATATATTTCTAAATATATTTATTAATTATTACTTGTTAATTATTAAATCCATTATTTTTATCAAGCACAAGAACAAAAAAAAAATATTATCAAAAGCTTCAATCCCATAGGCTTATAAACATGGATTCAAGTAATTTTTTAAAGTGTACTTATGTACAATAATAGAAAAAATATATATATATTAAACATCAAATGATTACTAATTAGTTAAAATATTATATTCTATATTTTAAAAGTATATTCTTATAAATTAAATGATAGAATGAATATATGATTTTCAAGACAATTGGACAACTTTCTTGCAATTACTAGAAAATTTAAATAATAAGATGGTACAGTCTTCTTAACAAAGTATTTTGTTATAATTTTTAAAAATCATCTATAATTTGATACTTTTAATTTTTTTAAAGCTAAAATTCTAAAAATAGAAGATTTAAAAATTAGAATAGTAGATCTTCATACAACAATGAAGATAAATTTAAAAGCGATTCAAAAATGACAAAAAACTAATGTAGATGCTTTTAGAAAAGAACAACCTTCATTCAAAGTTGGTAATGAGGTATTATTACTTTATAATAATATTAAGACTAATTGACTTTATCACAAGTTAGATTATCGAAGACTATGTTAGTTTATTATTTTAAATTATATTAATTTAGTGGCATATCAATTGTAAATACTATGAAAAGAATTAAGTGCATCCAATTGGAAGTCCTAAAATTTATACATAAATTAATATAACTTAATTACTATAAATTATAGCTCAACTTAAGTTATTAATCTATTAATTAATTTGAGTTTATACATCTATCTAATTAACATTCATCCAATCTATGTAATAGATGTCATGCTAATTTTTTATTTGCATAATACATCACATCTAAATTAATAATTTTATCTAATTAATTTATTTATCTAAAAAATTCATCAATTGATTATATTAATCATCTATATCAAATTCAATATTATTTTTAATCTTTCATCCAAGATTCATCTATAAAAATCGATTAATGAACTAAAAAAATCATTGAAATAGGAAGCAAAGGAATTTGACATTTCTAAACCTATTGCAACACCTATTTTTACAAAATAATATACCCCTCCTAATCATGAGCTCTAAATTGAATTCAAGTAGTCTTATTAGAAAGAATACTTGAAAGCATATCTATTTTTAAATTTTACCTACAATTTTAATTGTATGCCTTCAATATTGCCTTTTAAAATTTTTGCTTTAATTTAGCAAGGCAACATACATCTTTTTACAAAATTAAATACTACAACTTGGTTCTTGATTTTTATTTAGTAAATCTAAGCTTATTTTAATTTTGAATTTAAATGTCAACTTTTCTAAAAAAAAATTAAATCCTTGAATTCCTTTAATTCTTTTGAACTTTTCTTCTAAAATTGTGCCTTCTTTTGGTTGCTTGAATTTAGATGCAACAGTCTCTTTGCTACAAGAATTAAAAATCTTAACATATTCTAGTTCTAATATGATTAAAACTTAGTTTTTTATAAGCTAGACTTCATCAATTCCTTAAAATAACAACTCTTATTGCCTTTTAGAATCTTTTAAAATTAAAATCTTCCAAATAGATAAACACTCTATAATTCTCTATTTTATATGAAAAATATAAAAAATATAAAAAATTCTAAAATTTCATAATTCTAAGATGTAGAAGATATCTAATATCTTATGGCAAGTTATGTAAAAGTAATTTAATTGGCTTCTAAAATAAGCCAAATAAGAAAAGTTTTGCTTAGTATTAACTTGTGTCATGGTCTAATAACAAAACTTATCTTTGATCCTAATTCCTATTCTAGGCCATTATGTGAGGATATGGTGACTTATTTTGCCAAACTTAAAAAATGACTTTTTGCAAAATAATATTTTCTCTACAAATATAATGGTATATAAATATAATATCTTATCGGACCATAACTTTAATATTAAGTAGAATTACATGAGATTTCAAATATTGTTCTTTATAAGACTCTTAAGCAAAAGAGAACAATGATTAACATATATAGAGAGAAAGTCAATTCAAACATAGAAACTAATTGTAATAATTAATAACTTCATCAGTGTGAATCTATCATATATTGATTTTAAAAATGTTGGCAAGATTATAAAATTTGGAATTATTCCATCTTACTTCTTTATAAACTGATGTTCAATGCTTAAAAGTTAAAATTATAAAAAGCCTTTTCACAAAAATAATTCTTCAATATAAAAAATATCTAAGATTTAGAAGTTTTTGTCAATTTGGTAATTACTATATCATTATTATAAAGACTTTGCTTATACACTATATGATTCTAAAGAAATAAATATATATTCTAAGAAGTATAAAAAAAAAAAGTTAAGATGGAATACTAATTCATTTATGTTTTGTACAATCCATATATCGTAGTTAGAACATTTTTCTAAAGAAACTGTACAAACATCATCAACATTAGACTCCTATCCTAAAATGATCGAAATAGATCATGGATGACAAAAACAAATCTAAGTCCAAATATCTAAAAGTAATTAATTGAATTATTAAAATACCATTGAATAATTTAAATAATTAAAACTGATACTTATAATATCTTAATAATATCAAAAATATAATCCAAAAATACAAACCTAAGTATGAATTGAAAATAGATATTACTTATATTATGTGAATCTTAAACAAAATGACCGTGATGAAGATAACTAAAAAACGATAACAACATAATATTAAATACTCCACACTTCTTAATTAGTTTAAAATTTTAATATTGTTAAAGAATTGTATATCATATTATAAAATGGTTTAACTAAAAAAAATATCTTTTAATAATTGGTTGTTTCACTATGAATTCTTTCTATACTAAATGCCATAAGTAGTTGCTTCATAACATCAAACTCAAACATATATCTTATTCATTTGACTTTTATAAAAATTAATGGATATTTCTAATATCTCCATAATTTTTGCTATTGCCACTAGAATCTTATTTCTACTATAAGACATTCATATTCTTCGTTAATGCTAATAAAAAAAGTAATTTTGTTTTGCTTAAATATAGATATATATAGATATTTACATACATACATATGTAAAATAAGAATAAGATTTTATTACTTTAATTTTTTAAATATATATATATATATATGTACATATACATATTAAAAATATGAACAATTTTTTATTGTAATAAAAGAAATTAAAAAGATATGTCAAATAGATATCAATTTGTGGTGATATAAGCAAAAAATGTAATAGGATTAGTAATATCCTATTCAATTTGTATTAAATACCATCTTTCAATGCTTTCCTATTCTAATGTTGCATGTAATTATGATGCTACATATTCACTAAT